TTTTTTTTTTTTTTTTTTTGCTCTTAACATCTTTAAATCACTTAATATTAAAAATAAACATTTAAAATGTATGGCAAGTTTATTTAGTGTTATAAAAGCATGTTATGACATCATTAGTAGGTGATGGTTCCCAATGGAAGTCTTTTTGTTACGGTATTTTTTTAATGCAATTTGTTAGGATTTTCTTCAAATGACCTTAAAAAAAATTCTGTTAAATAAGAGTTCTGTGGTAGAATTCTGCATTTCAAAACACAGAAGTTCCTAAAAGAAAAAAAGTGGTACTTACATGACCCCAGTGCCATAAGTCCAATGACTTTTAAAATAAATAAAATAAAATAAAATAAAATAAAAAAGATCTCTCAGAATTAACTAACTTCATTCATGTATGAAATAAAACATGTTAAAGTTTTCCATTTTTGATACAGACATATGTAAAATCTATCTAGGCAACAAACATGTGCTAGTGAAATGTACATAAAAACCACAAACCATCCACACTGCAAAATTTCACTCTGCTGTAGGAGTCTAGGACTTGGAATTGTAACTATTTCAACTGTGCACATCACAAAAACCCACATAACTGTGTGCGCTCCACACTCTGCCCCCCCTTAGTCAATTAACCAACATATAACATTTTGTATTTTTAGTACTTTTGTATCTCAATTTCAAAAAAAGATATAGAAGGCTGAAAAATACGCAGCTTGAAGGAGAAAATAAAGCTTTATAGTCATTGCAGCTGATTAAGTCATCATTTAGGAAATATTCCTATGTAGAAAAAGCCCTGATTATTTGCATTAAACATGAATTGATATTTAAACATGTGGTTACAATCACTTAATCAATATTTCCCACACTTTCTCAACATAAGCACATGCGTATTACCCTCATTAAAATCCTTAATCTTTTTATCAGCAATTCATCTTTGCAATCCCTCCATGTAAAACTCTTAGAGTAGAAATCCTTTTGCAGTCCAAGAATGATCAGTTACCTAAATATTTCATGGAGTTTCTGCTTGCTAAATTTTAGCATTTTTGTTTTCATTTCAAACTTTATCATTTGCAAGTGCAAGTTTTTCAAAAGCCTTCATGCTAAAATAAAATATTCAGGCAAGTAATTTAGTTGTGGCCCCAGAAACTAAAACTGAAAGCATTTGCAAATGTAAGAGGATATGACATTTATCAAAGCACAGCATATTTTTAGCTCATCATTTAAAAAAGTTATGTCACTGTAAATTATTGCAGTCACTTTTTCTTAGCACAATTTTATTGAAAAGCTATTTCAAAATAAATCCATTAAACAATAAATTATGAAAAATACCAAACAAAAGTCTAGACTGGATATTTTAAAATGGTATTACTGATAAATCCAGCTAGGGTGATAGGAAGAGAGGTAGAAAATGTTTAAACAGAAAATACAAAAAAATATATATTTATCTATATATAAATTACCTCAGTACAAAAATATTAATACAAAAGGAAAAACACAACCCTGCTGCAAGTATTTACACTAACTTCAATAAAAATTACTAGAAGTATGAAAATTAAGCATTTGCTTAAGTCTTTGCAGAATCATTGATTTAGTCTGCAGAATTGATTGTTTTATTATGGTAAAACTTACTTAAAGCATGTTCCTAAGACACTATTTACTGCTGCTTCTTTTTGCAAGAGCCTCTCCGATTTGACGATCCAGTTCACTTACTATATGGTCTTCATGATTATACACGCCTGTTCTCAACAAGGTATCTCTCTCTTCTATCAGGCGAGTGAGATAATCGTCCATACTCTCATTTAACTGTCTAGCTTGAAGACCACCCATTCTCCCAAATGAAGCATCCCCAGAATCCTGCAATTGTTTTTTGTCTTCTTGTTGCTTTAGCCTGATGATAAATAAATAAATAAATAAAATCAGTATAAGACAAAATGATCTTCTCTTGTTATATTTTTTTCCAAACTGACTGTTACAGGAAACTTACCCCACGTCCAAAAAAAGGTAACAAAATCACCCTTGCTATATTAAATTTAAAGGAAGTCTTATACAGCAGATACTTATCCAGAATCCAAGAATCTGAACATATATGTGCTTGTTACAATGATTACAGTAAGGGTTACATCCTGATAATACTGTTTAAAAATCCACACAAGTGGCACAGCCCAGATTCTAAATTACTGGATTAATTTTAAATAGAGGACACCATTAGGCAGACTTAAAATATCAGCAAGTGAATGAAAAGCAAGTTGAAAGCAGATCATGTTTTATGGTTTTTTAAAATATATATAGCAGTTATTTTATATATCAGTTCTGCTCAGAAGTGAGGATAAAAAAGACTTGGTGCAGTATAAGAACAATCTTGACAAAAAACTGGGTATGGTGGCCTTTAGCATAGATTTTCTATAATACAACACTGTTACATTTTATAAATGGGCAATTTTTACCTAAGGGACACTAAACTGTGTTCCTACCCTGGATTGACAGCCAATTAAAATTTTGATTTAACTGAACCTTCCCCTACTTTGAGGCAGAGGGAAAAAAATCCTGCAAATGCTTTAATACCTGTTAAGTTCATTCCTGATATCCTCCAACTCTTGTCGTTCTGTTTTCCCCAGTTCTTTCTCCTCTGCTGCCAAGTAGCGAAGTCTCATGTGCTCCAGCTCTTGCTGCTGCTTTTTGAGACGGGCCATAGCATTCTCCTGCTCACGCTAAAGGGAGAAATCATTTGACAAACTCTTACACACAAAAATGCTAACTCCAGGGATGCCTCCATTGTTTCAGATGGGAATTAAAAACAGAGCTAGTAAGAACCCCAACATATTACTAGTCAGTAACTAAGCAGCCCCAGGTACTCATTGTAATAAATGTGTATAGGTATGAGGTAACAAATGAAATAAAACTAATGGCTCAATTACAATTCCTGCAAACACGTACCTAAACCAGAATGCAATCAAATCTGGACCCTAAATTAACAGCTTTAGCCATCAGCGACAAAAAGGATGTGTATTTAACAGCTGATGGGTCTGCTTTTTCAGACACTTAATGAAACTGATAAACAAAGATTACACTCATGAACGTGGCTTAAGATACTATTAGCAACTGATTTTGCTAGATCATTAGAAGCACTTAAAATTCCCTCCTGCAAACAGAGGGAGGATGGAAGTAGGTGGGTGTTAAATTCTCAGTGATTGCAGAGGACACTCATCCTATTGGTTCTGCAGTGTATAGCACCAGAAAGCTTGTTCAGCAGAAGCAATTTTAGTCTAAGATTTGAAGAACTAATTTCTGAAGTGGCTTCCTGTCAACCAGCACTGAAAATATAAGACTAAAATTTAGATTTCTTCTGTTTTCAAACAGGGAAAAATACTTAAGTAAAAATAATCAGAAAAAAGAGGGGTGGGGTAGGTCAATGTCCTAATTGTTTTTCACAGTTCCATAAGCTAAGTAGCAATGACCTGTCAACCAGAAAGAGGACTTTCATAAAACAGGACAAGTGACATAATCTAGTTCTTGGGGACATTAAATCTGTTTTAACTTCACAAAAATCCTGCTTACTTCTGATTTGTTCTTTATACAGCCTAGTTTGTTACCTGACCCCGGACACATCAATCTTGGCATAACTTATAATCGTAAAGCACATAACAATGGTCCATTAACATCCATGTTAAGAATGTTTACTTTGTATTGTCTGACTTTATTTTTGTTATTACAGATATAAACTGGATTTATAAAATTACTTCATTCTGTTTCTATAAGCAAACCAATTCATTACATATTCAACCTATCTATTGTAGAACAGATAGTAAAATCTTATGTCAAGGTAAATCAGTCTTAAAAAACCCTAGAAAAACAACCTGGATCACAATTGCTATCCCAGGAATTTAGAAGAAAATCTCAAATACTTCTTAGTTGACGCTCTCAATCCGCATGTCTACACGAGATATTTAACAGCAAATTAGCATAGTTTACTGTGATGTAAGCATGTGGCTCTACACATGCACATGCTTACTTCACAGTAAATTCCCCTAATCCTAAGTAAATTTGCTACCTGCAAATGCAAATAGCTAATTTACTTCGCATTAGTAATGGCGCCAAAACACTCATGCAGACTCCTGGCTGGGAGCCAAATCTGCTCCTGGTCAGCCGTCCACAAGGGGGCGGGAGATGGCTCCCTGCCCCCGGGACAAGCCAGGGCAGGCTCTGCCATAGGATCCTGGGTGAGGATTGTGTCCCCTGCCCCAGCAGCAGGGAGCTCCAAGCCCCCTGCTCCCAGATTGTGATCACAAAGTGGGGACTGGGAGATCCTTCTCCCAGTAGTGGCTCTGCAGCTGTGGAGCCACTGCTGGGAGATGCGTATGCCCCAGCCCAGCACCAGATCTTCCACTGCAATTGCATTTATAGATTCTGAAAGGACAGTTCCCAGTCAGCCCCAGACTGCATGGGGAAGCACATGCAGCCTGAAGGTACTGTTTTAGGCAGTCCCCAGCCAGCTCCATACTACACATGCAGACTTCCCTGCACAGTCTAGGGCTGGCCAGGAATGGTTGCAGTCAAGGGTAGGTCCTAGCCCCATGGTCTGATTAGATGATCAAGGCACAGGGCTTAGAGACAGCTGCCTCGTGGCGCAGTGTTCCCTGCCAGCCTCTGGGCTAGCACTCAGGGGGAGCCTGGAGCTCCCTGCTATGGCCACAAGGGCACATTACAGGGCTGCAGGGACCTGGGAGCAAATCTGCTCCCTAATCCCTGCATGTGTAGACACCTACCCAAAAACATTTACTATGCAGTACCTTAATGCACAGTAAATCCTGGCTGGAATAAATGCAAGTGGAGATGTGCCCAATAAGTAGAAAACATCTCAACCTCTTAACATTACCATAAACAAACTACCCTCTTCCCACCTAAGATTATAATTTTAAGGAAGGAATACTGGACTGGTTACACACAAAGACATCAGTTTATAGGCAAAGAACGATATTTCGCATTTTCATACAAACCAAGCCAGCCATCTTGGCACTAGTGGGAACTAGTGAGCCAAAAAGGAAGGGAAGGATAGTTACTCGTAGGAACTTGCAACTGAAGAGTCCAACAAAAGCAGAACATAGATTTTTGTAATGATTAGAAAACAAAGACAGCAACTATCAGGTTGGAACCTTGAAAATCTCCTCATAATATAGCTATTATTCTATGGCTCATGAACAAGCAATTGATCTACAGTAGATGAATGTGAACATGTAAAACCAGAGGTAACTTTCCCTGCCAACTTGTGAACTTGAGCAAAAAAGCGTTTTCAGGATTAAAAAACACCTCAAATGTATTGTGCTTTATTTGCCTATGATCATATATCAGCAATCTGTAGTACAGGGTCATGTTTCTATGTGGCTTTGGACACTAAAAGTCCTTACCCTACTGAAGTCACTGAGAGGTATGTTATTGACTTCGACATTGCCAGGATACCAGTCTATGGCCATTTTTAAAATATCACGATAAAGAAAACAGAGCAAAGTCATCAGCAGAAGGGCAGTTTGGTTGGAAAAAAAGTAGCAGTGTTGATGAAATATGCTTAGTTTCATGCAAGGCATTTGATTGTGTTACATTTGACTTTGTTGACTTGATTACTAAACTGGAATTATATAAAAACAACATAAGACATCAAACAATTTACAAACTAGTTAAGTGGTGAATCTAAAATGTATTCTAAATAGGAAATCATCAAGCATGTACGTTTCTAGTGGGGAGCTGAAGGGAATTGGATGTTGGTCTGACATTTTAAGGATATTTTGGGAAGGGATGGAGGAAGAGAAGAATTCAAAATAATCACTAATAAAACTTGAGATGATAGAAAGATTAGGAAAGTGATTAATAAGAAAAGAATGGGTCATTGATAGAGTCATCTGGAGTGCTGACAAATTAGGCACAAGAAAACAATAAGTACTTCAATACGGCCAAATATAAGATCTAGAGTCAAAAGAAGATGAGCCATGATTACAAGACAGGAAAGTATTCCATCCTGGAAAACAGTAGCTAAAAAAAACCTTGCAGGGGGGAGGGGGAAGGTGTTTGATCTGATGAATATGAGCACTAAGGATGATACTACAGCCAAAAACAGAGGATATCATTGAATGTATCCACAGCAAAACCTTGAATAATGAGTACAGAATTGATATTATTTCTGTCTTGGGCACTGGTGTGACTAGTGTTTGAGAGTCAAGAATGACATTAAAGGAGGCTGGGGAGGATTCAGAGAAGATTCACATACCTAATCAAAGAACTGAAAATACTGAAAGATTCCACTTTCTCAACCTACATCTAACTTATCAGAAATGGTGTGGGGGGAGGGGGAGAGTTCACAATCTGTAAGTACCTTCATTGCAAAACAGAAATGTGATAATGAATAGCTTCCAAATCTCAGACAAAGATACAGCATCATCCAACAGCTGGAATCTGAAGCAAAACAAATTCAGTTTAGAAATAAAATGAAGTTTCTAAAATAGCAAAGGTAACCAAAACTGAACTATTTACCACCAGAGTTTGTACCAGATTATCAATTGCATGGAATTCTTTTAACAACATTTTTTCTCCAAAAGAGATATACTGTAAGTCAAGTACCGCTATAAATTTTATATCCTACAGCCTGTGTTACACAGGTCAGATTACATGATGATCACCAGCCTCTTCTGGCTTATAAAATGCACAAATGTCTGGATGAAACTTCAGTAGAATGAAGTAGGTTAAAATGAGAAATATTCTAAATAATGTGAGTATTGTAAATACTGTGAAAAAATAAGTGCACATCGAGTATAAATTTCCACAACTGACCGGTTTCTTAACTGCTCATGTTCATAGTTCACTTAACCTGCCAGAAATGGCTAATGCTGTGAAGAAAGGTACTTAGTGTCAAAGAAATGAGTGAGTGAAAAATTATTCTCTCTCAAAGCAAAGAACAAAATTCTGACTGCTTCTGTAAGACAGGAAGAAGTGCCCTATTTCCTCCTCTATAACTTGCCTGACAATATTGACAAATGGATCAGAATAACCTGACTCCAAAAGACTGTTATGGATTCTGGAGAAGGCATTAATACCTTTAAGATATTAGTTGGCCCTAAACTAATTGACAGTTTAAATACTAATTTTTGGGTCACTGTCTCTGTCATGAAACAAACCCAGCTAGGTATCCCAGCTTCTCAAACTTGCTTTTACCCAGAACCTAACTAGAATGATTTCTGGAGAGAGAGTTTTTGACTCCTAAGAACCTATCTTCAGCTTCTTAGGAGAAGCTCAGACTTTGAAACAAAAGTTCTGGAAAGGTTATTGGTTGTAGCCATGTTGGTCTAATATTTAACTGGTATAATAAAAGTTGGTCTAATTTTTCGTCAGTCTCATATTTAGGTGGTATAATAAAATATACCACCATGTACCCAAAGAAACTTGCCTGGAAAGGTTAGGCATCTTTTTGCTAGTCCCATTACAGTAGAAGAAACACATGGAGAAGCCCAGAGTAAAGGACAACCATGCTTAGTGTCCATAGCTCATGGTATTCTGCCTGGCAAGTGTGAAAATCGCCAGGTGGTTGAGACTGAATAGAATCATTGCAACTGTCTGCCTGTTTGGAGATGTATTCCCCTGGAACACCCAACTAAGGCAGAATATGTATTAGCCCCTTACGAGGTCCTCATTAATAGACAAGAGAGCTCTTATTAAAGCACCATGC